ACACCTGAAAGAACTGGGGAAGAAATGGGTGCGGTCTCGTACCATTAAATGTGATCCTAGATGCACCATAGTGAAGTTTCATCCCAAATTGATGTACTTAACTAAGATAAAAATCTAATAATTAATTGCATTATAAAACCTTACATAAAGTAGTATAATCAATTTTTCAAAATAGTACAACTCAATCTAATGAATTAAACAATCACATTTATACACCCTTTTCTTTTCTTGGTTCCCAAAATAGTATGATCAACTGATGCGTCCTCAAAAAAAGAAACAGAATTGGAGCAACTTTTCTTTGATCTTGTAAAGATACAACGAATATAGACTAGAATTTTGCTTTTGTGCTAAAATGCTAATGCATGTCCTTGTGAAGTAATAGGAAATGCTACGGTCCCGTTACGGTGTCATCCCGTATGGTGTTTTAACCATTGGATCCACGTGTAGTTAGATAAGATAGATGATCCAACGGTTAAAACACCTGACGGGATGGTACCATAACGGGACCGTAGCATTTTCCGCAAGCAATATATACCAATGCATAATTGAATCAAAGTCATCAATTTTGATTATTGGTTCAACTAATTGCTACAATATGTCACAAAAATATTTAAATTTGAACCTATAAGATGTGTGGGTGTGTGCGCCACATGCACGAGTCATTGCATTATAAAACCTTTATGATTGATTAAAAAAAATGTGTGTTGACTGGATATGCGGCTTGACAACGATAGCAATATATCATAAAGATTATATTGTGTACATGGTGATGGAATAATAATTGAATTAATTATTTGTTTGATCATAAGCTCCACTCTTCAATATGTGGCACTTTGGGGTTATGTAGTGATTATATAGTTATATCGAAAAACTTATCACTCATTTATGGACTCCACCTCATGTTTGCAAAGAGTTGAGAGTTTTTCTTGAATAAGTGTACTACAAGAAAATGGTATGATCATGACAAAAACAAATGCAAAATGGAACCAAAAAGAGAGAAGATAAAAGAGCTGAAAATGTGGACTTTTTGTGTTGATCTCAGATGGATACAATGTGTGGCAGCTACCACCCTTATATAGATCAAATCTAGGTTAAATGAACATTCCAGAACAGTGTAATATAACTGGTATGTGAAAGGCCTAAGACCGGCTGATCGGTTCGATCTGGATTACCTTGCTCGTCGGTTGATGACCTTCGATACCTGCACAAACTCAACGCCGGAGGATTTTCGGCATAGAGCTTCTGATACTTAAGTCAGAACGTGAAGGAGACGATGAACAGTGCTCATGCACCACAATAGTACAACTCTTATTATCGTTTATCTCAAGTTTCAGTATATTTTGTTGTTTCTACAACGTAGTGTTGCATCATTGACATTAGGTGTTGCATCAATTAGTTGCATACATCTTAAAAGAAGTTATATTTCTTCCACATAATTTCTTGTACATGGGTGTCAAACTCGCCCATTAATTGAAGTACAAACCCAAACTAGAATCACTCAAATCTTACAAATCAAGCTATCAACAAATTAACCACACAAATTTGACAATAAAACTTAAAATCAATAGTGGTACCTAAAAAAATTGCACCCAAATAATCCCCGTCAAGCAAAACAACGCCGTCATTTGTTGCTCGATCATCTTTTGCATCCATGACATTACAATCTTTAGGCGGTTCAAGGAGTGACAGAGACAACTGCTTGGAGACGACCCCTTCATCGAAAAAAATTA